CTTAGGAAATTGGTATACTTACTAACTTAGGAAATCTTATAACTAACTTAAGAAATTGGTTAATTCCTGTACTGCCGTTATACGCATAAGAGTCCCACGGTGCATAAGGATTGCATAGAACATGGGACAGTTATGCGTATAACGGCAGTGTAGCAGCTATATAAATGGTCATTGGTTTCATGTTTTCAATGAACATTAAAGTTTTTCTTAACAAAATATTTCAAACATTTTCTACTTAAATTCACCAAGTTTGCATTATTCCTTTTATAAATATGATTGTATTATTTCAAATCATGTTTTGAAGCAGCTGCTTTATTAAAAAAAATCAGTCATTCACAACATTGACAAAATAGAGCCTTAAATAAGCAGTACTTCTTAAATTTAATATATTCTACAGAAAATAATTGTTTCCTTTAAATCTTTGTATGCTAAAATTGTTCGTTGTTGACCCTCCATAAAGCCTCAAGAGAACATAATATTCGTACCGAGTGTTTACAAGGGTGCTCATTTTACCCCAACGGTTTTATTTCAGTTACAAAACGAACATTTTTCAAATCAATAAGAATCAAAAGTTTAATTTAAATATAGAGCTGTTGTTATTCACATCGTCGTGATTTTGCGCTGCTAAATTTGTCATTTTTTTATCACACGGGCTATCGTTATTCGTTTTTTTCCGTTCGGTATGCTTGTAATATTGTACTGGTTGTTAGTGGAAAGTGTAGTTCGTTACGATAATCGGCTAATTAGAGCATATTTTGTGTTGTGAAAACAGTGAAAAAATTATCCAATCGGACATATTGTATACAACTAGCATTGGGCGATCTCGAGAATCCAATTCCTCTTTGCGTATTAGAGCATCTCCACCGCTGTTTCTAAATCACTTTTGGAAACTGAGTCAGCATGACTTCCGCCTCTGACCAATGCGCTAAACCAGTTAAAGGCGATGAAGAATCCGTCTTCTGCATGGCTTTTTGCGACAGGATGATTCACCTAAAGTGTGGCGGCACAAAGCTGAATAAGGCTTTTCTGAACATTGTCCACACTAGCCCGAACCTGTTTTGGATGTGTAACGAGTGCGCGAAGCTGATGAAATGTGCTCGATTCAAAACTGCCGTCTCGTCGTTTGGCAGTGTGATTAATTCTATCACCGAGAGACAGGAAATCGCACACGCTGAGCTTAGGAAGGAAATGGCTAAGCAAGAACAGCAGATCGCTCAGCTATCAAAACGAATCGCATTGACAACTCCGACAAACTCTGATTTCATGTGTCAACCGCCATTAAAACGGCGCCGCGATGAAGGCTCGCTCACAGGCAAACCACTTGTTGGTGGTTCTAAAGCAGTAACAGGTGACAATGCCTTTACCGAGGTCCTTACTGTCCCTGAACCCACCGAGCTGTTTTGGCTGTACCTTTCTCGTATTCATCCTAGCGTGAAATCGGAATCAATCGAGAAGCTGGTGAAAGGTTGTGTACAGTGCGAAGATCCGATTTAGGTTGTGCCGCTAGTCAAAAAAGGATCCGACATCAGCCGTATGAGCTTCATCTCGTACAAAGTCGGAATGGATCCCAAACTACGCGAAGCTGCTCTTAGATCGGATACATGGCCGAAAGGAATTTTGTTCCGTGAATTTGAATACGGTTCAAAAAACATGTGGTTGACTCGTTTGAACACGCCTACCATCACGATCTCTCCTATTACGGGACCTTCCGAGTTCTCAACTCCCATTTTCGGACTAGACCCAGTCTGCTGATTCAGAATTGGATTTTGCGTTGTGAATCGGAGCGCTGTAGACCAGAACGCAATGCCTGTCGCATTATGGGAGACCTCGAACCACTCGATCCAGTCGCGCTAGCTGTTTCCCGCCATCAAAGTCGTTCTATTTCCTGTCATCAGAGTCGTTCTGGCCCTGCGGTCGAGTTCGGTGGTGGGGTCTCCCAAGCATCGTCTTCAGGCAAGTATGCATACATTAGTTACAGTCATTTGCCTGATCAGTTTCCGTGTTCCAGTGCAACGCTTCAAGCACCTGCCGGCTGTTTCCAGTTGAGAAGCACTTCTGATACTGCTCATTCACAACATCCGCTTTACTGTTCGAACAATCCTTATTCATCTCCGGTACGCACAATAGACCGCTCTTTCGAAGCTCCTGGTTACTTCAGCCCAGTCGTGCCGATTCCCGCCAGCGTTCAGCATAGTCGTCCTGGACCTGTGGCTGGATATGAATCAGGAGTCTTCCACTTTGCCTCTACAAGCAAGTACAATCAATATATTAACTATTCACTGCCTGATGCCGATCAAATTTTCAGCAATTTTAACTATGGTAGTCATTGTGATGATGCCTCTGTAACTCCTAATCCTGAAAACCCGGAACGCGCCGTAGAAAGCCCCATGGAAGCCCCCAATCCCTCCGTCTCAGTCCTGCCATCAGCAGCCTTCGTTCATCATAGTCGTTCCGGACCTGCTGTCGGATGCGGAGAGGGGGTCTTCCAACCCACTCACTATGGCGAGTATCCTATGAGACTTGATGATGGTCAGTTATTGCCTGATGTATCTGTGATTTCCAGGGAGAGCAGTCGTTCGATTCCTTGCCGCAAGCAGGACGTCGTGATCTTCTACCAAAACGCCGGTGGAATGAATTCTGATGTTGAAGAGTACCGCCTAGCTGTATCGGATCGATTATTGTCCTGTGCGAAACGTGGCTCGATTATCGAACGCTTTCCAGTCAAGTCTTCGGTCCTGACTACGAGGTCTTTCGTTGCGATCGGAATCCTAACAACAGCCGTAAATCTACTGGTGGAGGTGTCCTTGAAGCTGTCCGTAGCGGGTTGGAGGCAAAGGCCATCGAGAACGATTCATGGAACAATGTGGAGCAGGTTTGGACAGCCATCAATCTGGGTGATCGCACACTATTTCTATGCGCTCTGTACATTCCACCCGATCGAGTCCGCGACAATGAACTCATCGATAAACACTGTCGGTCAGTTTTCACAGTTGTCGAAAGTTCCACTCCAGTTGATGAGATATTCATTTTTGGTGACTTCAATCTGCCAGGCGTTTTGTGGAGTCCATCTCATAGCGGATTCCTGTATCCAGATCCTGATAGCTCTACATTTCACGCAGGAGCTATTAGCCTTCTCGACAACTACAGCGCAGCGACGCTTTCTCAAATTAACCATGTAGTTAACGAAAATGGTCGTAGTTTGGACCTCTGCTTCGTGAGCACACAGGACAGGGCTCCATCAATTTCCTCGGCTCCTTGTGCACTAACTAAGCTAGTTCCACATCACCCTCCTCTAATTGTCACTGTTGAGGACAAACTCGTGCGTGATTTCGGCGACTAAACTGCTACGGTTTCTTATGACTTCCGTAAAGCTGACCACCGTAGCGTCATAGATGTATTGTCTAGCATGGTATGGGAGAACATCCTTGATCCAGATAACGTTGACTGCTGACTGTCACTTTCTTCAACGTCAACTGAATGTATTCGCTAGTTGGTGCAGGTTAAACAGAATGTTAGTGAACCCAGCCAAATGCTCCGCTATTACGTTCTCACGAAAACAACAACAGATAATATTTAGCTATGACCTGCTTGGCTCGACAATCGAACGCGTGATTCAGGTGAAAGACTTGGGTGTGATCTTGGATTCGCAGCTTTCATTCAAGCAACACATTGCATATGTTGTTGATAAGGCGTCAAGAACTTTAGGGTTTATTTTTAGGATAGCTAAAAACTTCACTGATATCTACTGTCTAAAATCTCTCTATTGTTCGCTTGTTCGATCGACGCTTGAGACGCTACAACAACGGTGCCGAGAGAATTGAATCTGCTCAACGTCGCTTTCTTCGTTTTGCGTTGCGTAGATTGCCTTGGAATGATCCGTTTCGATTACCAAGTTACGAAAGCCGTTGTCAACTCATCGACCTAGAAGAGACACAAACAGAGCCCTAACCGTGGCCGATAGCCTACAAGGAAGGACAGATTGTGAGGCTATCCTGAGGCAAATTGACCTGAATGTTCAACCCCGACCGCTTCGTAATAACCTTATGCTAAGACTGCCTTTACGTCGCACAAATTATGGAGCGTACGGTACGATTTGCGGACTGCAGAAAGCATTCAACAGAGTTGCATCTGTTTTCGACTTTCATCTCTCCCGTGATGCGCTTCGTTGAAAGTTTTCTTCTGTTTTTCGCCGGCATGTTTTTTATGTTATGACCATGCTTGAGTGTATTTTTTTTACCATAGTTGATAAGGTTAAACTCATTGGGGCTTCATCCAGCCTGTTGATGTAAAACAACAAAAAAACAATAAAACAATAAAACAATAAAACAATAATATTCAATTTGTATTCATGATGTAAATAGGGCTTGAAACTATCCGGGCCTACACGGTGATAAGGAAGTGATTCTCAGAATAAGAGCCGTGATTTCCGTACAAATCAAATGGGAATCACTTCACCGTGATGACAAATGACAAGTTTTCATCCGTATTAAGCCCCTCCATTTGGTTAAAAATCATTCGAATTTTCCACTGAATTTGGTGTCATTGGTGATGATTTTCATAAGGTGACCAAACTGCCCCACTTTCCCCTACCAGAACAACAAGTGCGTGTTTTCCTATTAAATGTTTAATCACACTCTTTCTCGCTTCTAGCGTGGCGTCCGAAACAAACTAGCTTGCCACTCTAGGACCGGATGATTTGAACAGTTTTCCATGGAGACACTCGGTTGATTTCATGCGAGCCTACTTTGTCCGACCGTTTGTTGGGTGTGATGTAAAGCACCACGCGTTCCCTCCAACGTGACATGGAGAGAGATCGTATCTTTGAGAACTTCGGTGAGCGCCTTGGAAGTATCAATAGACATCACCGAGCGTGTAGAACTACACATGCATTTTCTTACAGTTTACGCCAAATCACTAAAGGTAACAGCGGAAGAGCATTAAAGAAAAGGAAGCATAGGTGCAACTAGGCGAAAGCCAACACAACGAAAATCAATACTCACACCATCGCCATTATTATCATCATCATCATCATTAACACCATTATCACGATCATCACCATCATCACTAGCAGCGGTATTAGTTGTAGCATAGTTGTTATGGATCTTAATAGTAATAACATCAATATCCTCATAGTCGAGATTAAGCATCTCGGACACACCACACCAATCCTCACCGTCGTCGTCCTCCCCGTTTCCATCGTCATCCACCGGTTCATCGGGACCGTACACACCGCCGTGGCTGCGACAAAATCGGCCTCCGTTGGGGAATTCTTTGGTAAAATCAAGCACCGTCTTGCTGGGATGGAGCCGCCGGAAGCGAAGACTGCAGGCCCGACATAATTTCGGATCAGTCTGCTGCTGGCGCTGCTCCCCTGCCGGGCTGTTACTGCTACTGCTGCTACTTTGCAGCAGTTTCGGCATCTTCTGGTGCAGTTTATTGAAGCGATTTTTAAGGTTATGTTTCAACAGCGAGGAAAGCTTCGTCGACGACGTATGTTCCGTTGTTGCGCCTTTGTTGCTGCAATCGGGGTGCTGCTTCAGCTCGACGCTTTCGTTCGCACCCATCACCATCACGCTGCCATTGTTGGCGGGAAGGGAGTAATGGGATTCGCTCATTTCGGTAATGGTATGTTCCGGGGTGGTCGGTGTCGAACCGGCAGAGTCTTGGCGGTTGTCGGAGAAAATGAATTTTATCGCCGTTAGTCGATTGGCGTCCTTGCCGTTGCTGCTGCTGCTGCTGCTAATTAGATCTACTTTCTCCTCCCTTCCCGCCGATCCGGCTTGATGATGATGGTGCTGGCGCAGTGCCATGTTTAGGGAGGAATCTTTTACCTTATTGGTGGAGTGCATTATCTCCCGAAAGGTGGACATGACCGTGTTGGAAAAGGAGGTCATTTTCTCCTCCCCGCCGCCACCGGCACCGGGAGGTTGAGACGGTGGGTGTCCCGATTCGTTTAGCTTCGATTCGTCCCCGTCCTCGCCGAGCAGTTCGTCCTCGGAGAACGTTTGATTGCGATTTTTGTTGTTGCGTTTCTTTTTCTTCTTCTTCTTCCTTTCGTCCACCACCTCCCCCCGAGGGGTTTCCGCCGCCGAGCCGGATTCATTTTTCATCAGTTTGAACTGATCGTTATCGTTCTTCTTCAGATTGGACACTTTACTGCGTAGGCGGTCGGCAAAACTGTTGCCCGGTTCGTCCACTTCGTCCAGCCGCTGGTCCCGGTCCGCCGCTTCCGAATTGGAACTTTTGATCTTGATTTTCCGCTTGATTTTATCGCGGAAACTAGCTTTCTCCGGGCCTTTTTCCAGTTTGGATACGACATCCGGATTCGATGGGACGTTGCTGTATTCATTCTGTTCCGTCGCTTTCGAGAACAGCTTCTGATCCAATTTGGAATTCAACTCATCGATGCTGTCCAAATGGGCATCAATGGACGAATTTAGCATCACCTGTGGTTCCTCGTATGAATCTTCCTGTAGGAGATTATTTTTCGAATCATTCATATCGTTCGCATACAGCTCATCCGAGGTGGATTGATTCTCCGGCGAGTTCAGCGAATTCAGCAACATAACCTCACTTTCTTCGCTTCCCTTCAGCCGCTTGTAGCTCGCCACTCCATCGTCGCAACTCAACAACCTATGGTGGTTAGTAAAGCCCTCATCAAACCTAAGCCCCACCACGTCGTTAGTATCGGCAGCGTCAGCCTGCAGCAGGTTAGCTTCCATATCAACATAGGTGTTAGTGGACACACGGTTTTCCGGATACTCCGGATCCGGGCGGTTAGTAGCGTCAACTCTCGCTTCAACAGGCTCAACGTACACATTCTCTTCACTCATCGGGGGTTCACACTCATTTACCGTTGATGAACCCTGATGATTGCCATTCTTCAACAGCAGCTTCTGGGTAGGCCGGGGCGTCGATGCGGGTGAATCCTTGACGGTTAGCAAAGAGGCGCCGGCAATAGGGCCGGACTTACGACGGAATTGGTCCCTGAGCAGCGATATTACCCCGCTGGCCGTACCGCCCTTCGTCGAGAAGAACGGCGTCGTCGATGCATTGTGTGAGTCCTCCTTAGTTGAACAGGTTGAAGGCCCGATTTCGGGCAAGGAAGAAAATAACAAAGAATATAGACCACCACCAACCACCGTGTGTTACAACAGTCAAGCCCTCCGAAAACCAATGGAAAATTTAGGAAACAATAAGCACCACCGGAAACTTTTCCCAGAAACCCAAACAAAGGCTACTTTTACCGGAAGACTACTTACCGACAGATCTTGGCTAACGGCTTTTTTGTTCTCTATCAGATGCTCCATCGTGGACAGGTCATCGCACCCGGACGGCAGTTCCTCACAGCCCACGTCATTCAGGGCGGCTCGGATCATTTCCACTTGCTTCTGCATCTGCCGTTCCTGACATCGCAACGCTATCAGTTCCTTGGAATTCCTGACGCAAAACAAAAAAAAAACAGCCAATACCAATTACCAATTCAAGAAAACCCATTTTCACACACTTACTTATTACTACTATCCTTAACGCTAGTTCCGTTGGACCCGTTCAGGATCGGCGTGGATGGTTTCGTGGCGCTTCCGTTGGTGCTGTTGGTGTTGTTGGCAGCCGTCCCGTTCACTCCGTTCTGGTCCTGTTGCTGCTGCTTGGTCTGTGCCTCCTGGAGATCCTTGATTGACGCTTCGAGCTCGGTCTGCCGGGCCTTGAGCCAGTCCACCGTCAGATTGTCCACCGTCAGGGTGTTGGCCTGCAACTTCCCTAGGCTGTCCTCGATCAGCGAATCGTCGAACTGGAATATCACTGGGGCGGTGGGGGTCGTTTTGTGCTTTTCGGTGAACTCCCGGTACTCCTCGGCCGGGCTGATACTGCTAATGTTGGTCTCTATCCGCTGCTGGATTTCGCTGAACTTGTCCGACGTGGTATCGCCCAGTTTGGACACTTCCTGCAGCAGGTTGCGCCTGGGGCAAGACAAAAAAAAAGGGGGAATTAAGATTGATTGATTGATTGCCTTCATCAAATCATCGAATTTCAGCTGAGTAACTCACCATGTGAGAATGAAGCCCTCCTGCTGGGACTGTTGGTGTTCGAGCAGACCCGGCATCAGGATCGTCCGGATGTCCTTTTCGATTTCGGCCGCCTCGCTCAGCAGCAGGACGTACTCGTTGTGGGCCAGGTGGAGCTTCCGGCAGGCTTTCTGATACTTGTCGATGACGTCGTCCAATTTGCGACCGGAGCGACCCGCTGGAAAGGGGATAGGAATGAGAACGAATTTCGCCGAGTCATTATTACGCTTTGGCTTGGGCTCATATCTAGCTAAACAAAATAATAACAGCTATGGGGAGAAGGCTTGAATTTTAAAGCTTAATCGGTTCCACTGGAATTGAGAATGTGTTGAAACCAGAATGGCCCGAACCCGAGTTTTCCGGGTCAAACATAATTATAGTCGTGAAGTAAAGGAGATGTATTTATCGGAACATGCTCCAGCCATAAAATATTCAAAGGCATTCTAAAACGCCATGTAACCTTTCGTTTGGACGCGGTTGAGTCCAATTCGGTTTAGTGGTTGAAACACATCTCACAATTAAAAAAAAATCCATACCTACACTGAAAAAAAAATTATAGCATACTTAGCTTAACGTGCTTAAATAATTCAAGACCAACAATTGAAGTGGCCTCAACTCCATTTTGTAAACAAACCAATTTCTCGCGATCCGAAACCTACAATCTCAAACCTAAACCACAAACGGGTAGAGGATAATTTCCCCTACCTGTGCATTCTGTTGTTTTGCCTTGGCGGACTTCGGTTCGTGAGAAAACTGCCTTACAAGGTTTGTTTGCAAAATGGATTTGAGGCCTTTTCGATTGTTAGTCTTGAATCAGCCAAAAAAAAAAATGCTTTATTCAAACATGAAAATGTTTTTGTTAGAATAACCTTTTTCCTTTAAAAGTGCCCATCTTGGGATTGATGAACGACTTGTAGATAACTAGTATATTTTTTTAATTTAGTCTTAATAATTTTCCAGAGGCGTCGCGTGCCTCATTTGTTTACCTGTGCAACAAGCTTTGTTCGTTATAGTATTCCACCACATATTAGTTTTTGTTTTATTTTTCAATGCTCCATGAATTCAAGGGACATATTCTCCATTACTATATTACCCAAGTAACAATTTTGGTTTTATGAAGGTTCTGTAGACTACGATTTAGGATTGTAGAATACTATAAAACCTCTTTAAAGCTTGTAATTTTACTTGGGTAATCACTACCTAACGTAACATTTGAAGGGCTTATCATCTTGTATAAACAAAACTTGTATGGCCCTTTTCGCGGTAACCGAAGTAGGAGGAATTGCAAAACTTAACTAATTCCAGCTGTACATTGCATTAGGTTCTAAGTAATATTGATCGATTCTCTTCGTCGACTTTCTATTTCGTTAATAACTTGAGTACATAACCATTTCTTGTTGTGTTTGTCGTATTAGATGCTAGATAAAAGCTTCTTTTATCGATCGGTGTGCTGAAAATACCTGGGAATGTATTTACATGGCCGTGGATATACAAAGAGAAAGTCGACGGAGATAATCTGTCAATGTTACTTAGGACCTAATGCAATGTGCAGCTTGAATTCTCGTTTTTATCACAAGGCTAACTCTTTCGACTGAAGTGCAATAAAGAATATCCGTCAAACAGTTCGAAAACATTTTATGATACAAAACAGTGTCAAAAATTCATAGTCCCCTAGGTAGCAAACTTGAATTAATCAACTCTTTATTCATCAGAACAACACTAGCAGAATAAACCAGGGGAAGCTCATAAGTTTTGACAGGCGCACCGGCGCAACTATCGGTAATTGAGAGATTCACAACTGACAAGAGAGTGAGAGCGGCTTTTGCGCTCTCTTTCTCCATTACTCTCTTTGTCTGCAATCAGATATCCAAGTGCACAGCGAGAAATGCACACTTTGGGCACCCATACATGCCAAATGTTCTTCTAATTCAAACCGGTCTGCAAGTATGATACACGTCCAAAGCGTACCAGACTGCTGTTTCCGTGTTGCTTCCCTTTGACGCGTGATTGCTAAATGTTTCAATTACAACTAGTGGTGCAAACCGCCATATATTGTGGAAAATTTGTGGTATGTTTCAAAAGGTAATAGGAGGTCTGCTTGGCTTACATCAGGCATTTGACCATTCTCAAACTTGCCACCCGCCACACAAAAGAGCTCGCTTTTAGGTGCACTATTTAACGAGTTTTGTCTTGGTAGTGATATCGACATGCTAAGAAAACAATGCATTAGGGATTAGGCAGACCATCCGAACTGAATTTAACCCTTGAAAACCAAGGCCGAAGATTTAATTGAACCACACTATAAAATAGTGCATTCATGGTCACTTGTGGTTTGGAGTAAAGAAGTACAGCTATAATATGACCATTAAAATCTATAAAATTTAAACGCATTTTTTTTTAAATTATTTACACCTGTGTCGTGCACAGGTTGCACATGTGGACGCGACGCCACTGTAATTTTCACAAATGACGTTTTAAAAAAAAATATTTTTAAATTAAAAGAAAAAAATTATTCAGTGTAGAAATGATATTTTAATTGCTTGTCATTTTCTTATGAAAGCAAATCACTCTTCGGCATTTTTATGTTATATCTTTTAAATAAAAAAAAAAATAAAAAATAAATTAAAAAAGTTCTGTCCTGTTCAAATGGTAGTCTAGATTTTTTTAAGGAAAATAAGTATGCAAAGTTAGGTTAGGTTTTCTTTATTAGGGAGGCTTTCAACCTGGGGCTGGTTCGCCTCCGGAAAGTATGCAAAGTTGCTTAAGTAGACAACATCTTTATTTCATTGGAATCTGAGAGGCTGCCGCAAACTCCATAGCCGAATTGACGTGAAATTCATCTATTAAATACCTACTTCCATCCGCGAAATGTTAGATTCTATTACAGATTTGCATAAAAGTATACAGCAAGTATTTAATTGGATTTGATATAATGATTGATGTGATATGAGTACGTGAATTCGAAAAATCGTGGCTTTCTGTTTTGAAGTTTTTTTTTATCTAGCTCGTCTATTTGAAAGGCTCAATTGCGTTAGCTTTCCGGAGCCGATAATTCATTGTTTTGAAACCAAATTTACTTAATTCTATGTCTAGTCTGAGTTGGGTTGAATACTCACGGCTTACTCTAGGTTAGACGGGTACATTGCCGAAGGATAGGATCATAGGAGGAACTTAAGGGTGAGGTTTCGTTGTCTCATCAGAACGTTGTCCTCATTACATTATATGAACGATAGTGCGGTTCTAGATTCAACTTCGTCTGGAGTTCGACAGAGTGTGGATTGAACTCACTATCAATATGTAAAAGAAGAGTTGATGGCATCTCATGTTCAACGCTCTAATATTTGTTGTAGATCGTAGAATGTACGGATCTTGACTGCTGATCGTCATTCCGTATATCATCGAATGGGGCATATCAATCTACGAAAAATCTTCTATCATTTATCATATCTAGGTCCAACAAGTATCGTGCTACATCTTTTCGCAGGACACCTTCAAAATCTTCATCGATCTCCTTTCTATCTATATATAATCTGTTTTAGATAAAATCGTAGTTTTATGTATGACACCTACTTCAAAAACTGGTAAACGACTGGACAATGCGTACCATTGATACTTCGTGTATCTACAGGTATAAAATAGACCCCACTAGCGGTCCTTAGCTTCTTGTCCAGTAACTCCTTCCCCAACCTCCCCGCGGTGCCGGCTGGGATACGAGTAACCATAGGGAAGATCGGGTAACCAAACCCGGTGGGATCTTGGTCGTATGCTGACAGGGAAGGGGGGGACTCTTCTCTCCGAGCTTTGGAGCCTCTCTTCGAGCGTCTGTTCACCATGTTAGGAGCGGCTGATCAACATCCTGGTGCCAGCGTGGGACTCTAAACAGTGCGAAACAATGGGGGTTGGTGCAGGCCCTACAAGCCAGCCGTAAAAAAAAAAACAAAAGTACAGGAAGCAAGCAATGTAAATACGGACCGGAACAATCGGCATAGACCCAAGCAACGGAAACGTGCTTTCATCGTGTTGGGCGAAATGCAGAAGCGCGTGATTGGGTGGTGACCAATTGATAGCAGAATGTGCAAGTTGAGGATCAAAGGCCGTTTCTTCAATGTCAGCATAATCAACGTGCACAGCCCTCACTTAGCAAGTGACGATGACGATAAAGACGCTTTTTACGCGCAGTTGGAACGGGAATACGACAGCAGCCAAAGCTATGACGTCAAAATCGTCATCGGAGATCTTAAGGCTCAGGTCGGCCAGGAGGAGGAATTCAGACCGGTTATAGGAAAGTTCAGCTAACGGCCGTAGACTCATCGATTTCGCCGCCTCTAAGAACATGGCCATACGTAGTACCTACTTCCAGCATAGCCTCCCATATCGGTACACCTGGAGATCACCGCAGCAGACAGAATCGCAAATCGACCACGTTTCGATCGACGGAAGGCACTTCTCGGACATTATCGACGTCAGGACCTATCGCGGTGCAAATATCGATTCGGACCACGACCTTCTAATGGTCAAGGTGCGCCAAAAACTTTCCGTTGCCAACAACATTCGGTAGAAATGGAGCAGCTGTATCGTTCTCAAGAAACACGCAAGTTCTATAAGAAACTCAACGCATCCCGCCAAGGCTTTGTGCCGCGAGCCGAAATGTTTCGGGATGAGGAAGGGGGTATCTTAACGGACGAACGTGAGGTGATTGAAAGGTGGAAGCAGCACTACGATGAACATCTGAACGGCGCAGAGGCGGAGGACCAAGGCGGCAGGAGGAATGGCTTCGTCGGTACAGCGGATGAGGGGGACATGCCAGCTCCCACGAAAGGTGAAGTTAAGGATGCTATCCAACAAACAACAAAGCAGCTGGGAAAGATGGTATCGGAGCGGAACTTATCAAAATGGGCCCGGATAAGTTGGCCACTTGTCTACACCGACTGATAGTCAGAATCTGGGATACAGAACAGATACCAGAGGAGTGGAAAGAGGGAGTAATATCATAGAGGTAACTCTAAGACTAGAAGGTCCCGAAGAAACGTGCTCAACTTTTTGGCTCAGCTCTGGTACTCTCTTCGGTCCCAAGCTAATCGATTCACCCCTCGAAACATAGGAAAAACCAATAACCCCTCATTTTATCTGTCAAATTTTCATAGCGAATCAAAACAAACATTGCGTAGTACTAGAATT